GTATAGGGCGGACGAAGACACCCGAAGACAAGTTGAGTTTCTGCGAGTCGTCATGTCATTGCACCCCCATAATCCCGAAGCCCTTCTGCTGCTGTGCTCTCTCCATGTCACTGCAGCAGCACCACCGCCACCAGATGTCCAGCAGCACCTACACTCCCTTTGTCTTCTACATACTAATTTCATTCACCAAATAGTGGCTGCCCGGTTTTGGGCCTATGTATTTTTAGAAACAAAAATAAGGAGTTGATGGCTTTAGGTTGCGAGCCAGCCTTCACGGAGCTGTCCCATCTCAAGCTTCGGGTGGAATAGACCGGGAAGCATGGCTAGGTAGCCCTGTGGTGCACTTCTCCTTTTTCTTGGCTCTGGGTCCCCTTGTAAAGTAACCCACCAAAAAAAGGGTGCCCTTATTATAAGGTGGTACGAAGTTGGGCTGTATCTTCAGAAATGCCCAGATGAGCAGCTCTAGGCAACGAGTTTATCTGCACGCAGGACCTGTTCCTGGTCGGACGTTTGTCACTTTATGCTCTGGAGATAGGGGGTGCAATCATTACACACACACACACACATTTTCCTAAACTCTAAACCCGACACCCTAAATATTCACACATTTGACTACCCTAGACCCTAAATCCTAAACCCAAAACCCTAAACCCTTAACCATTTGACCACAAGAAAGTGCCCCAGCTCGGCTCCGCACAATGAGAGATAGGCAGTGGCAGCATGCCACCACGAAACGGGCGCACGGTTGCTGTCGCTCTCTGCCACACGTATGGCTTCCTGCTTCGCCTTACTTGGTAGCCCAGTGGTACCCTTGACCTTTTTTTGGTTCAAAGTTTCCTGATAAAGTGCCCTACCCAGCCCAAAAAAACGGGTAGTTACCCTTATTGCAATATGGTTACTGGGGTACCAAGCTTATTGGGATTAAGAGGAATGTTTGTCCCATGGTGAGATGGCCATCCCATGCTTCCGTCTCGACGGAGAAGCGCCAAAGTGACATGCGACATGGTTGTGACGTTGAGCCACCTTTGTAACAATCCCTAAGGGTCCATGTACCTAAACAGGGAATACTTGGGCCTCAAAGTACTTCCTAGATAGGGACTTTGAGGCCCAAGTATATACTAATAAGGTGTATGGACCTTTAGGGGATGTGCATACACAGGAGCACACATGCGCACTTGCTCTGGCGCTCTAAGCAATCACATACGTCGAGCTCGGCCACACTTGAGAGCACAGCCAGCAGCCATGTAGCGTGTCCCTACTCCGCGACATGGCTTGACTTTTCAGCCAAGAAGTCGTGGAAAGCGTGCTCTTTGCAGGTCATTCTTAGAGTCCAAGCCCTAAACCCTAAACATCCCTAAGCCCTACACCCTAAACCCCCAAACCCCAAACCCTAAACCCTAAACCCTACACCCTAAACCCCAAAACCCTAAACCCAGGACCCCAAAAGCCTCCGGCCCTCAGGCACCGATGCGTGGAAGCGGTGGAGGTGCCTCTGCATGGCCTATGTTGCATTCTTCAACGTGCCTTCCAACCCTAAACCTAGACCCTAAACCCTAAACCCTAAACACTAAACCCTAAACCTTAAACCTTAAACCCTAAACCCTAAACCCTAACCCCGCAAGCACCCTCTTGCCATGACGAGGGTGTCAGAATGAGGAATCACCCATAACTTTAGTTCAAGGCAAGGCCGAAGCCCCCTTACCACAAAGCTTCTGCTAACTACTGCGTGTGAGCACCATAAATTCAACCCCCCAAATTTTGCTGCCTCCCCCAACCCCTGGGCCCTAGACCTCACCCTACCCCCTACACCCTGAATCGCCATTCTAAACTTTGGTTTCCTGCCCTATACTCCCAGAGATTCCAGAGGTGGAGACGAGGCAACCGGTCAACGTCAGGGTCGCCCTTGAGACCAATCAGGGCACAGAAAGTGCGGTTTTCCCAAGGCGGGGGCCGGGGCGTGCTCAAGTACCTTGAAGTTTATATTAGGGTTTCTGGGTTTTTTTGGGGTGAAGGGTTTCACGGGTTGGGTTAGAGGGGTTGGGGTTTTCGCGTTGTTTTGGGCTTAGAGCTCATGGCAATTTCTGAGCCTACCCCCCATAAACCCAAGATAGGGCCCGTTAGGGGGTATCTCCTTTCAGGGGGGCTTAAGGACCCCTATGACTTGGGGGCTGCGGGTTTGAGGAGGGTTTGCCACCCCCCAGCCCAAACATCAATCATTCCCCACCCTAAGCCCTGATGCACCCTAACCCGTTAAGGGAGGTATTGCTGTTCATAGAGACGCAAGGTCTGGCACGAGTTTCAGTGTTTCGAGGCAAGGGCTTGGGGCTTGGGGCTACTTCCCATGCCCAAGAAGATTTCGGGTTTAGGGTTCAGGGTTTAGGGTTTCGGGCTTAGCGTTTCGGACTTGTAGGCAGTGATGAGCGGCTTTCGATCACACGTCTGAGGCTCCTGGAGTGTATTGCATGGAGCGTGTTCACAGCATCCAGGAGCCTGATATTAAGGAACCCCTCCCCAAAAAAACGAAACAGACCGATTGTACCAAAGGTTTCTTTGGGGGGGGGGGGGGGGGGCGGCAGGGGAGACGTTCACCCTAGACCCTACACCCCTAAAGCCCTAAACCCCTGCGTACAAAAAGGCCCACGAAGCACACACAGCCTGTGCCGTACTGTGCGCCCGACTCGACGGTTTGATTACGGACGCACGTGACTTTGCAACAAAGCCGAGGCTCAGCGACGATCTGCTGCAGGGGTTTAGGGTTTAGGGTTTAGGGGCTATGTTCGTCAATGGTCGAGAGATGTGTTGCAAGACCTGTCGAGAAAGATCGTGCGCAGAGGGGGACATCATGGGACGTCCTATGCGTCAGTTTGGACCGCAGCTCAGGGAGAGGCAATGAGAACATGCAGAAGTTCACGCTGTTTCACATTGCTGGGTCTCAAAAATGGAAATAACATGAAATAACAGTCGTCGCAGCAGATGGAGAATACGACTATTAACTATACATTGTAGAAGTTAACCCCAAACCCTAAGCAGTTTCTTTCGTGTTCTGGCATGACAATCGAAGCAAAGGCGATGCTCCCAAAGTTTGTTACGGAGAGGACACCCAAAGCTGGAATTTGCGGGTTTGGACTCTTGCTGGGACAATCTTAGCTTGTCCTAAAACCCGAAACCCTAAGCCTTGAAAAACCCTGAGCCCCTAAACCCTACACCCTAAAGCCCTTAACCCCTAAACCCTGAACCCTAAACTCCCTAAGAGCCCGAAAAACCCGAAAAAACCTAATTCCTAAAGCCCTAAAAACCCTGACGCCCAGTAAACCCCTGCAGCCCTAAAGGAACTAAAACCACAAAGAAAGCCATAAAGCTACTAAAACCTACAAAAACAAATAGTACAAAACACATCTCAAAGGACCTAAGAGCCCTAAGCCTAAAACCCTAAGACCCAGAGCCTTCTTGCAGGCTGCTTCTGCCCTCGAACGAGGTGCGGGGCTTCAGGGTACCAAGAATCTGGGTGTGCTACTCTCAGCCTCTAGGAGGTTTAGGAGGTGTAGGAGGTTTAGGAGGCTTAGGGGATTTTAGGGGGTCTAGGAGGTTTAGGTTTAGGTGGGTAGGGTTTTGGGGTTTTGGGCTTTGGGTTTTCGAGGGGCACGTAGACCATCCAGTGTGCGGGTACAAGCCGCACAGCTGAAGTGTCTGGGCCGTCGAGTCTTCGTCACACTACCTTCCGAGGACTCCCTAAACTTCCTTAAACTCCTTAAGCCCGAAACTCCCTAAACCCTAAGCCCTGAACCCTAAACCCTAAACTCCCCTGGTCCTTATCCACTCGACTTGAGAACTTTCACGGGGCCCCTGAAGCTGGTTGTGCAGGTCAGGGTTTGGCGCGCAGAGCACCTGCAACCCCGAGTCTCTAGGTTTAGGGTTTTAGGGTTTAGGGTTAGGGCTTAGGGCTTAGGGCTTAGGGCTTAGAGCTTAGGGCTTAGGGCTTAGGGCTTAGGGCTTAGGGCTTAGGGCTTAGGGCTTAGGGCTTAGGGCTTAGGGCTTAGGGCTTATACGGTTTATGGTTAGGGTTTAGGGCCTGTAGTTGGGGTTCAGGGTTGAGGGCTTGGGGTTTAGGGTTGAGGAAGAAGGGCTTCTTGGGGTTTGGGGCTTAGGGTTTGTTGAGTTCGGGGGTTAGACGTAGAGGGTTTAGGGTTTGAGTGCTTTAGAGTATTCAGGGGCTCTTCCTGGGTTGCCATTGGGGAACTACGAGTCGCCATCGTATGCGGCTTAGGGTTTAGAGTTTACGGTTTAGGGTTTAGGGTTTAGGCTTTTGGGTAAACCAAACCTAATGCCCACGTTCCTTACCGCCCCAAACCCTAGACCCCTCCAGAAGCCCATAATGATACCCCAAAGTCGATTTAGGGGCTTAGTAGGTAGAGCATACTATGCCTCACTAAACTCCTAAACCCATGTACATTCAACCTAAACCCTAAACCCTAAACCCTAAACCCTAAACCCTAAACCCTAAACCCTAAACCCTAAACCCTAAACCCCCCATAACCCCTGAACCCTAACCATGGACTGGCTGTCTCAGGTCCACGCCCTGCGCCTGAAGAGCGAAAGCTTCTGGCCCGTGACCATCGAGCGCAGCCTCAAAGGACTGGCACGAGAGCGAAAGGGTTTAGGGTTTAGGGTGTAGTGGGTGTAGTGGGTGTTGTTTCAGACGACCAGATTGTGTTTGTGAGAACTCCTCTTGCAATCTTACATGCACTTGTGCGAAACTTAGATAACATGCACTTCAAGAAATGGCACCATTTAGGAGGTTTGCAGCGCGCGCCAGATATTGCAAGGCTTGGGACATTTCAAGAGAGCTAGAAGACATGCAAGATGTCTAGGGGAAAGGCAGTGATCGAATTGTCCAGCAGTCTTCGATGTGCCCGCGGCTCCGGCTCGTAGTGAGGGATTTCCCGGTCGAGGCATCTCCTTGAAGAAGGACCCTGAGGAAGAGGGTTGAAGGCCCTTCCGAGATGATACGTCGTTGCTCCACATCAGCGCTGTTCTTCGCCCTGCTGCTTGCGAGCCCATCCCCGTCCATGCTGCCTGGAAGAATCCAAATTGCAGATGCCTTTGCGACAACAGCACTGGCAGTGACTGGGGGGTTTCTTGGCTGGCTGTCATTCAATGCGCAGGAAGTCTACAATAGCATCAAGCGCTGGTGGGGCGGTCCAGTGGAGTGGGGCAAGATCTGGGAGGACTACAAGAAGGCTCGCCATGCGATCATGCAGAAAGAACCGAATGATGAGATGAGACACATTCTTATCTCGGACATGCGGGAGGATTTCCGAATCAAGTACCCGCAATGGGCATACAAGTGGAACTGACGGACCCGTCTCACCCATCTAGCCTAGACGCTAGACAGTGTGAATGTGCCCCGGCAGGACAAGCGGCGTTGCGAGTGGAGCGAGGAAGGAAGCTTTCGCTGGGTAAAGAAGCCTAGTTTCTTGGAGCCCTCTTACCAGCCCAGAGAGCTCACCACCCCACGAGGATCGCTTACGCCGCCACATCAAAAAGACCCATCAAGGCTGTGATCTCCGTAAAGCCCTACGACTCCGAAGACCCTAAACCCCCCAAAAGCCCACGACGACACACTGATACCCACGAAAGATCTTCCAAAAGCCGCTCCAGCACACGCCGTTTTGCAGACTCCTGAGCCACAGGGAGCGAAGCCCTGGATTGTAGACCGGCTTGCGTTGACGAAATGCATATGCACTGTGCGTTACTGTCGAGGTTCATGCTGCACGCGCCCTTTAACATGGTTACTCCTAGAGTTTTGCAACTATATATCTTGTATTACATGGTGTGATGCTAGCGGTGCCCTTGTGCCACTTTTTTGGGGGGTTAGAGGTTTGGGGTTTCGGGGTTAAGTTTTTGGGGCTTAGGATCTTAAGATTAAGAGTGCAGACTTAGGGTTTCAGGTCAAGATTATTAGGGCTCAGGCGACCCCTGAAGCCCACACGTGAGACCTTTTCCTTCTGAGTTCTTACTAGGTACCGGCAACTCACACGACAGTCCAAGCTCCAGCTGCCGAAAAGACTGAGCTGTAGTCATTTGAAGTATCTTGGGTAGCCTGATCGACAGGCTTTGTATTATCAAAACGGACCATGACTTCGAGAACTGGCAAGGTTATCGACAGCTGAATTTGGAGTTTGGAGTCCAGTGCCATCCACCCCGAAACCTTATTCCCAAACCCCCAAATACTAACCCTCAGCTCCAAACTCCAAGCTCCAACTACCAAGGGTGTCCGGGAGCTAGGGTCCTTGAGGATTTTACGGGGTGTGCCTAAGCCCAAACTCTGAACCTGAGGACCGCACCTTAGACCCCCAGAAGCCTGCAGCAGAAAGTTCAAAAGCCTGCTGTGGGGCCCCGCAACCCCAAAGCCCTAAACCACCTGCGCAGGACCAGATGCTGTTGAAAACCGTTGGATGAAGGCGCAGACCATCGTGAGGGGGTCATGTTTTGGGCATTTCGCCCAATGGGGGGGGGGGGGGGGGGGGGGGGCGGGGTACCCCTAATATACCTTAAGAACCTATGCTCCTTATTGTGGGAACCCCAAAAAGGGTGCCCCTCGGAACCTCCCTCCCACTTCCTTACAAGGCCCCCAGGACAGTTAACGTCTTTAGGAACCGCACCCAAACTCTCAAATTTTAGCCCACCTGTGTGTGCGGGGCAAGGAATCAACGGTGCAAGGAATCAATGAAGATTGCTGCGCTTCCTTGTTCCCACAAACCCTGAACCCCAAAGCCTGAACACTTAAACCGGATATTGTGGGGGGGGGGGGGGGGGGGGGGGGGGGGGGCAGTTCTCATTTTGGAGCCACCCCTAAGTCATGCCCTGCTACGTGTCGGCTCGAAATCTCCCAGAGGGGTTGGGGTTTGAGGTTGAGCGAGGCCCAAAATCGGTTCTGCGCCTTGCAATTCGGAAATTCTTTTGGAGGTTTGTTATTTCTGCTTCGGGGGGGGTGTTAGAGGTATAGGGTTCCGGGCTTGAGGAGCCTTATGTTGCAAGTCTGGGGGATTTCTGGCGAAGAGGTGGCCTCCGTACCTGTAGCGGAGATGCACGACGTGCGGACATTGAAGCAAAGCTTGCAGAAAGTCTGCGGCCTGCCCCGATTTCGACAGAGGCTCTTGCATGATGGGAGGGACCTTGAAGATGTGGCCAGGCTTGAGATGGTGCAGGATGTGCAACTGGTACTGCTGGACTTCTGCCCTGTGTCTCATCATGAGGCAAGACACCTTTTCAAGGCTGCGGATGGTGGCATGGTGCTGGAGGTTGAGAAAGCCCTGCAGCGGCCCCAAGATCCGAATCAGACCACATCTCCAACCCACCCCACACCCCTGAACAGGGCCGCCCGCAACGGCCACATGGAGGTGGTCCACCTCCTGTTGGAGGCGACAGCCGACTTGGAAAGCTACTCGGATTTTTTTGGGGAACATTTTCTATTTTCCTTACTCGGGTTGTATAAGGGACCCTATTTCTTTATGTATATATATATAGATATAATATATAGAGGGTTTATTGGCCAACCCAGGATATCACTATCATTCGGGTTGCACGGCTCTTGGCAGCGCGGCTGGCTTTGGCCACGTGGAGATCGTGCGCCTGCTCCTGGTGGCCGGCGGCAAGGTCAACAACGGGGCCACCACGGCCCTCTTTCGGGCAGCTTCCACAGGACATGAGGAGATCCTAGGTAGATTCCTGGGACATTTTAAGTATTTTCTCTTAGTTTGGGTTTAAGAGGATCATACTCAGGACCATTTTTTCACAGAGGGTTTTTATGGCCAATCCTAGGATCGTTGGCATCTTGCTGGAGGCCCGGGCTGCGGTGGATGTGGGCACTCGCCTGGAGGGTAGGACAGCCCTGGGTGTGGCGTCCTACAACGGGCACGCGAAGACCGTGGCCTTGCTGCTGCAAGCCAGGGCCGACACAGACCAAGCCTGTGGATGGGAAGGTGAGACGGCCTTGTCCTTGGCTGCCAAGCAGGGACACCACGAGGTCGTGCGCCTCATGACGCATGAGGGCACGCCCACTTGTGGGAGCCTTTAGCTGGGAATGGTGACGCTGGGCCACACAGCCGCGCCACAGCCAGAGATCTGATTCAGGTGTGGGAGCCGTTGACGCAAACTCCTGCGCGAAGACGCCAGCTTAAAGTCCCCAATGCCGATGCTGTGCTACCTGACGTTAACAAACAGCCGAGTGGGACTTGCTACAATCCGAAGCACAAACCCTCCTAGCCTCGGAAGCTCTTCATCCTGAAACCCTTGAGTCCTCAGCTTTTGTCCCCCGCTAGAGGAGGATTTGTGATGTGGTGCTTGTTCAGCGTCGCAGTGGTGGCTCTAATAGAAATTGGTTTTGCTGTGGGACGCTGCTTCTGCTGCCCCACCCGCCAGGCTTTGCAACATACGCGCCGCTTCTATGTCAAGCGACGCGACGGGCTGGAGAACAGGCAGAGCACAAGGGCTTCATGGTGTTTAGGGTTTTGGGCTTTGGGCTTTTTCGGTACTTTGGGCGATTATGGGTTGGGTCTTTAGGATTTAAGGCTCACGGGTTTTCAGGGTAGTCGTGTTGGGGGAATGTTTCCAAGGGAGCCTCTCAGAAAGGGTACCTCAAAGAGGACGCCAATGTAGAACTACTTTAATCCGAAAGCCCGCACGGGCTGATGGGGTGCTCATGGGTTTAGGGTATTATCAAAAACACCCCTCCGCTAATCCCCCCGACCCTACAAACTGAATCTTCCCATTGTAGCATTAAACCCCTAAACCTTAAACCCTAAACCCTAAAACCCTAAATCCCTAAACGGGTAAAGGTCAATTAGTTCGATCATCCATCCCAAAAGCCCTGTTTTCTCAACTGCAAGGCCGCTGCTCTTAATTTTTAGGAACTTCGGGTTTCGGCGTGTGGGGTTTCGGGTTGAAGTAGGGTTTAGGGTTTTGCGTTTAGGATTTAGGGGGTTTGTGGAGCTCCTGCCTAAACCCTAGAAGCCCTAAACCCTCTAAACCACCGAAACCCCCTAAACACCCTAAACCCCCTAAACCCCCTAAACCCTAGACCCTAGACCCTAAACCCTACACCCAACCTACAAGAATCCCAAGCCCCATAACAACCTACACGCTGGCACCCTTGAAGCTTGAAAGCCCTGCAGATCCAAAAGCTCTGAAGCTCTAAACCCTAAACCCTAAACCCTAAACCCTAAACCCTAAACCCTATACCCTGAAGTTGCTCAACCTTTTCGGCCCCGAAGTCCCCTAAAACCCCTAAACCCTCAGGTTGGGTTTGGGGTTTAGGGTTTAGGGTTTAGGGTTTAGGGTTTAGGGTTTAGGGTTTAGGGTTTAGGGTTTAGGGTTTAGGGTTTAGGGTTTAGGGTTTAGGGTTTAGGGCCAGCCGCGAAGCTGGGACGGCTCTCGGAAGGTCTGACCCCTTGAGCCTCGACTCGGCGCAGGCCCATCCCTAAGCCTCTAAAACCCTAAACCCTAAACCCTAAACGGTTTAGGCCCTAAACCCTAAACCCTAAACCCTAAACACTAAACCCTAAACCCTAAGCCCTAAGCCCCAAGCCCCTAAGCCCTAAGCCCTAAGCCCTATAAGCCCTAAACCCTAAACCCTAAACCCGAACCTTGGGACCATGGGCCATTCGTGCGGACCCTTACCCTTGCTTAAAGGGAGTTAAGGGGGTCTGGGCCCTTACTACGTAAAGTGTACTTAGGAGTTAGTAACAGGGGACCCAAATTAAGGGCAACTTAAGAGAAATTCACAAGACCCGTTCAGGGTTTAGGGTATTGAGAGTTTTAGGGTTTACCTCTAATCCCCCCCCACCCCCAAACCCTTCAGGGCTCTGAGGGGAGTCAAAGGGAAGCTTCTCTTTGTGGTTATCGGGTTTAGGGTTCAGGATTTACTAAAGGTTTGTAGTTCAGCCCTCGGATCCAGAGTAGGCCTTAGCCCTTTTTTTTCAGGGGCTGGGTCAGGCCCCGCAGCCCCTGAACCGTAGACCCCAAAATGTTAAACGCCCAACCCTAAACCTGTAAGCCCTAAACCCTGATAAACCTACTAGGCTTCCTCTTGGAGGCTGACTGCAGGGCTTGAGTGGCTCAGAAACTTACGGACTCTTTGTGTTTGAGGACTTCGAGGTGTTCCAGGGCCTGTCGTCTAGGGGTGTAGCGTTTAGGGTTATCTCAACCCTAAACCCTGACCCTAAATCCTCGGTTCTTAGGGTTTGGAGTTTCGGGTGTGAGGCGAAGTAGGTACCCTAGAAGATTGAAAGAACCTTTCTCCTCCTCATCCCTGAGCCCTTAATCCTAAATCCTAAACCCTAAATCCTCAAGCCTAGACCCTAAACCCTTAATCCTAAATCCTGGACCCTAAACCCAAATTCCAAACCCTAAGCCCCAAACCCTAGAGAGTCACTTAAAGGAATTCACCCCAATCCCTAACCCTAAACCCTAAACCCTAAACCCTAAACTCAAAACCCTAGAAGAGTCTCCTTAAACCAATGCACCCCAGGGTCGGTAAAGGCCTGGTTCCCCACCTTCACGGCGCCGCAGATACAGCACTTGGCGCGGGGCCTCTTTTGTGGGGCGTGGTAGGGTTTAGGGTTTAGGGTTTAGGGTTTGGGGTTTGGGGTTTGGGGTTTGGGGTTTGGGGTTTGGGGTTTGGGGTTTGGGGTTTGGGGTTTAGGGTTTAGGGTTTGGGGTTTGGGGTTGGGGTTTGGGGTTTGGGGTTTAGGGGGTTTGGGGTTTGGGGTTTAGGTTTTAGGGTTTGGGGTTTGGGGTTTGGGGTTTGGGGTTTGGGGTTTGGGGTTTGGGGTTTGGGGTTTGGGGTTTGGGTTTTGGGGTTTGGGGTTTAGGGTTTAGGGTTTGGGGTTTGGGGTTTAGGGTTTAGGGTTTAGGGTTTTAGGGTTTAGGGTTTAGGGTTTAGGGTTTCGGCTCGGTGAAGAAACTTTGGTGATCGTGATGGCTGAAACCTTTACTTGTCTCACATAGGCCTGTCGGGTATTTGGGGCTTGGAACCGGAGATCTTCTGCCGACAGCTCTGTGTGTGGCGAGGGGGGGGGGGGGGGGGTTGTTCAACAGTTCAACCCCTACACGATACGCCAGCAAACGCAGAGGCTTCTTTGAAATTCGCTGATCTTTCACTCCTGAGTTCGGGCGTAAGGAAAGATTTGGGGGTTAGGGGGTACCCTCTTGGGGTCCTTGTTATAAGGGAATCCTACTATTTAGGGGGTTCTATCCCTAAGCCCTACACACATAAGGGCCCTTAAACTCCAGAAGCTTCTGACTTGAGAGCATGCATGCCCGCGAAGCAGCCCCCGTGGTGTTTTGGAGTTTAGGGGTTTTAGGGTTTCAGGGTTTAGGGTTTAGTGCGGGGAGGCTGGCTTCTCAGGGTTTAATTCTCTTAGGTTTGGGCTACCCCAACACCCCACAGCGCTATACCCTGAACCCTAAACCTTAAACACCTAAACCCTAAACCTTAAACACCTAAACCCTAAACCCTGAACCCTTACTGAAGCCAGCTTGGTCCCCCTCAATTTCTTGCACAGCTGCTGGAGGAGCGCCTCTTACAGCCCAAAGGCAAGAGCCAGCCGAGCGCGTGCGAATCTCAGTTGGTGGAGGCCTAGAGCTTTGGGAGGTTTAGGATTTGAGGTTTTGGGCTTAGGGTTTGGGGTTTAGGTTTAGGGTTTAGGGTTATGGTTTTCGGGTTCAGGGTTTTGGGTTTAAGGCTTTTAGGGGTTTCGGGTTTGTGTTCAGTGCATCAACAGCATGGTTTCGCTTTGCCGTGTGCCAAGATGCAGGAGCCTAAATCAGAACCAACTTTATCCCCGAAACCCCAAACCTATAATATGGTTATGACATATAAAGTTAAACTCCCTAAACCGTAAACTGTCTAGTGATCATATACAAATACAAAATGCCTTTAAACACCCCAGGCAAATTCCTCTAGAGTCTTCAGGTTTTTGGCGGTGGGCCATCGAGGAGCCTAGGAAAAAACCCTGCGCGACAGAACAAAGAAGCGGGGCTTAGGGTTTTGGGGGGTTTAGGGTTTAGGGTTTAGGGTTTAGGGTTTAGGGTTTAGGGTTTAGGGTTTAGGGTTTAGGGTTTAGGGTTTAGGGTTTAGGGTTTAGGGAAACTACACCCTCGCCCCCCCCCTCCCCCCCCTCCCCTCCCCCCGCTCCCCCGATGGCAAAAAGCAGCTCTCTAGGCACCCGAAGCTGTTAAAACCCTCAACTAAAACTCTTGGAGGCCTGGAGCCTGAACTTGTAAACTCAACGAGCCCGAAACTGGAAACAACCCTAAACCCCAAGCCCCAAACCCGAAACCCCCCAAACCCTTAACCCCAAACCCCAAACCCTAAACTCCAAACCCCAAACCCCAAACCCCAAACCCTAAACCCTAAACCCCAAACCCCAAACCCCAAACCCCAAACCCCAAACCCTAAACCCCAAACCCAACCCTAAACCCTAAACCTAACCCTAACCCCCCTAAACCCTACCCTAAACCCTAAACCCCTAAACCCTAAACCCTAAACCCTAAACCCTAAACCCTAAACCCTAAACCCTAAACCCTAAACCCTAAACCCTAAACCCTAAACCCTAAACCCTAACCAACCTGCAAGAACCCTAAACCCCTAAACCCTAAGCCCTAAACCCTAAACCCCTAAAACCCTGAAACCCCTCAGGCCGGGAGGTGTGATGCTGTCCTGGCTTCAGGGCCGAGGCATCGACGGAGGCGTGCTCTGAAACTCGGGCCAGGCTTTAGGGTTTAGAGTTTAGGGTTTCGGGTTTCGGGTTTCGGGTTTGGGGTTTGGGGTTTCGGGTTTCGGGTTTCGGCCTAAACTACCGGCTTTTTCCCTCACAACCCTGTGAAGCATATATTAGGCAAACTTTGTGGGCGTTGCACCCTAAACCCTAAGCCCTAAACCCTAAGCAGCTTCATGCTCCAACTTGTGATCCCTCACTTACACTCCGCCCGAAACATTTCGCCCCCCCCCCCCCCAATGTGCCCTAACCCGTAAACAAGAAACCCTCAAGCCCTAAACCCTAGACCCAAAGCCCT